GGGGGGGGGGAATTTACATTCTGTAGAGAATCTCCTTCCTTAACTAGGTCTTTTCAGGAGAGTCTGACACTTTTTAAGGTCTGATAAGAGACCTTCACATCTATTCTCTCTGAAGCCTGCTACCTGGAGCTTCATCTACATAAGAACTTTGGCTTCCACAACCACCCGACACTTAGCTTAGCTCAAGCTGATTTGGACTCTTCAGGCAGAGCTTAACTGTTTCAACCAATTGCCAATCAGGAAATCTTTGAATTCGCCTGTGACCTGGAAGCCGCCCCTCCTCACCCCCCGCCCCCACCGCCACCACGCTTCTTTAAGCTGTCCTGCCTTTCCAGCCAAACAAGTTATGTCTGCTTATAACTTCTGTTTCCCTAAAATGTGTAAAATCAAGCTGTAACCAACCACCTTGGGCACATATTCTCAGGATCTCCTGAGGTCGTGTCACAGGGCATGATTCTTAACCTTGGTAAAAAAAAAACCTCTAAATTGAGACCTGTCTCAGATAGTTTTTGGTTTACAGGACCAATCAGATGGGAGCGATGAAGACACACGTGGAATTGATTAAAAGGTATCAATTTGTGTCTCAGGCTCTTTTTGATACACATTCTCCACTCAGATCCTGGCAAGGACCAGTTTAACAATTACCTAGAAACAACTTGGCTTGGGCTGGCTCAAATCCATCTGATGCATCTTAACTTCCCTGTACTTCAGTTTCTTCTTTGGAAAAATAGGGATAATGAAATCAAGATATGGGATAGCTGTGAGGATTAAATAGCACAGAGCAGGTCAGGGCTTAGGCCCTGGTGTTACCAGAAAGGGATCTGGATCTTGGATCGCGCACAAGAAAGAATTCGGGGTGAGTCCACAGAGTAAAGAGAAAGCAAGTTTATTAGAGAAGTAAAGAAGCAAGAATGGCTATTCCATAGACAGAGCAGCCCCGAGGACTACTGGTTGGCTATTTCTGTGGTTATTTCTTGATTATATGCTAAACAAGGGGTGAATGATTCATGAGTTTTCTGGGAAAGGAGCAAGGATTTCCCAGAACTGAGGGCTCCTTCTCATAGACCATATAGAGTAACTTCTTAGCATTGCCATGGCATTTGTAAACTGTCATGATGCTGGTAGGAGTGTCTTTAGCAGGTGAATGCATTATAATTAATGTATAATGAGCAGTGAGGACCACCAGAGGTTGCTTTCATCCCATCTTGGTTTTGGTGGGTTTTGGCTGACTTCTTTACTGCATCCTGTCTTATCAGCGGGTTCTTTGTGACCTGTATCTTCTGCTGACCTTCTATCTCATCCTGTGACTAAGAATGCCTAACCTCCTGGGAATGCAGCCCAGCAGGTCTCAGCCTCATTTTACCCAGTCCCTGTTCAAGATGCAGTCACTGTGGTTTGAACATCCCTGACACTGGCCCACAGTATGGGCTTATTAAATATCAGCTTCTATTTTCAGAAATGTACTTTAATATTTATTCAAAAATAAACACTAAGTAGTTTAGCTTTTTAAATCTTTATGGGATTAAGCAGCTCCTTAGCAGGCAGGAATAGCTTTCAACACAGCTCAGTTCTCATCAATGTGAGGCAGCGTGGGCCAAGCTTCCCTTCCTACCGCTGTGGGAACTTGTGAAAACAGACGCGATGCCCTACTCAACCCATGAGTTAGGAAGTCCTGCCCTGCCTCCCCTCCCCACCGTTTCTGCCGTGTCAGTGTGAGCTTGACGAAGGGGTGTTGGGTCCTCCCAGATACAGGGAGACAATTCAGGCAGACATAAAATTAATGCTGACAAAATCCACCAAGAGTGCAGGGAGGCTGCAGAGGTTGCATTTCTGGAGCGTCTGCTGAGCATGGCAGCTAATTAGCTTTGCTTGAGAAGTCACCCCTCTAACTCCTGCATCTGCTCACATTCAGTCATTTTTAGGCTCGAAAAAAGTCAATATAAAATAAAAACCATATTTTGGGAGGTGTCAAGGGAAATCTTTACACAGACTGGGAGGGAATTTATAATATCTCGAGAAAACGTTCCCTTCACCGATGGGTGAAGAGTCTGAGAAAAAGCCCATAGGGATGTGAGGGAATTCTCACATCTATTCATTGTACCTGCATGGGTTCCCACCTGCCCCATCTGCCCCCCTGGCAGGTGTGAATCCAGGGCTGATGTGTGGAGTCGGAGTCCCGGGGGCCAGCCCCAGCTGTGGCAGATTGTTTCGCCTTCTGAGACTCTGTTGTAGTTTCCTCTAATTTGGTCTTGAGGTCTCTCTCAGGAGATGGGTAAAAACCCATGCCCTGCCCTGCCAGGGCTCCAGGGGTTTGGTCATGAATGTTTATAGTGTGTCTTTCATGGGACACTTCTTTATCCCAGCAGACAGCCTAATGCCTGGGTGTCCAACCCATGGCAGGGTGTTCCTCTCACAGAAAACTTGTTTATACTAGAAGATGCCTTTGTGGCTCTTGTCTGACCTGTGTCCAGTTTATTCCTACCAAGACAGCCCCTCTCTAGGAGAGCCCTGATGGGGAAAGAAGGTAGGTTTGGGTGTGTTGGTCAGGTGAGACACAGAAGAGCAACTCAGCAAAACACATGAACTAAGGCCAGGCATGGTGGCTCACACCTGTAATCCCAGCACTTTGGGAGGCCGAGCGAGTGGATCACCTGACATCAGGAGTTCAAGACCAGCCTGATCGACACGGTGAAACCCCATCTCTACTAAAAATACAAAAATTAGCTGGGTGTGGTGGTGGCTGCCCGTAATCCCAGCTACTGAGGAGGGTGAGGCAGGAGAATCACTTGAATCTGGGAAGTGAAGGTTGCAGTGAGCCAAGATCGCGCCATTGCACTCCAGCCTGGGTGACAAGCAAAACTCTGTCTCAAAGAAACAAACAAAAAACCAAAACAAACAAAAAAAAACCCACATGAACTAACAGAAGAGCATATTACAGATCAGAGAGGCCATGGAAGGAGACTTCACAGGGCCAATAGCAGGGTGAAAGCTGTTCAGAATATGCATTCAGCCAGCATGTGGGGAGCAAGAGAGAGGGACCTTTGGGCCAAAGCCTTTTTATTGCCCAGGCTGGAGTGCAGTGGCACAGTCTCAGCTCACTGCAATCTCTGCCTCCTGGGTTCAAGCCATTCTCCTGCCTCAGCCTCCCAAGTATCTGGGATTACAGGCAGGCACCACCACGCCTGGCTAATTTTTTGTATTTAGTAAAGAAGGTGTTTCACCATGCTGGTCAGGTTCGTCTCGAACTCCTGACTTCAGGTGCTCCATCCGCCTTGGCCTCCCAAAGTGCTGGGATTACAGGCATGAGCCACCGTGCCCAGCCAGGGCCAAAGCCTTTATTGGGATCCAGGGAAACCAAGCAGGTTTCCCAAGGGGAGTTTTAATTGATGGGTTTAGAACAAGCAGGCAGGAGTTCTGGGAGGTCATAGGCGACTGGGAATAGTTGCTGTGCATATCTACACAGGTCATGTGAAGTGTAGGGATCAGTGGGCAACTCAAGTAGGTTGTATCTAGCTGTCCCCTAGGGAGGTTGTCACAAGAAGGCAGTTGTATAAGCAGATATCTGGATCAACCACATTGAGGAACTGGGAGGAGGTGGAGAACTGGAAATTGTGTCTCAAGGGTGACTAAGTCCTGCTTCTGGCATGAAAAAGCCCAATTTATATTCAAAACGGATGCTGAGGCAACATAAAATTATAAGAATTCACTACAGACTCATTTTCTTATCTGTATAATGAGGATAAATATGTCCTCTGTTGATTTCTTAGCTATATTTCTTAGTTACTTTTTTAGCGGTTGCCTTAGGGATTCCAGTGTGCTTCCTGAATTCATCACAATTTTCATCAGTTTAGCATGGAGTTAATTCCAGTAAAATTTGGCAAATTTACACCAGTGCAGCTCTACTTCCTAGCCCCTCCTCTGTGCTATTATGGACTTGTATACTATATATGTTATATACTCAATAATAGAAGGGTATAATTACCGCTTTCAACAGTAAAAGATTATATATATATGTGCGCGCACACACACACACAGAGTCTGTTGTATTTACAGACATATGTACCATTTCCCATGTTCAACATTACTTCCTGTGAATCTGAGTAACCATTTGGTGCCATTTTCTTTCAGCATAAGAACTTTAGTAGTTTATCTAGGAGAGGTCAGTTTGCAACAAATTCAGTTTTTATCTGGGAATATTTTTATTCTGCCTTCCATTATTGAAAGAGTTTAGTTGGATCTAGAACTCTAGTTG